TCTTTCTTAAAATAAATAAAATCTTTAATAATGACAGTAAACAACTATTTTTATTTTACATTGCTTATTTTTAAATAATATGTATGACATGACAGTTTTTTGTGAGTTTTTGTTTTTTGTAGTCTCAAAAATTATGTTCCTATTATAATTACACCTAGATAATTGCAAAAATGTTTGAACTAGCCTATTATACTAGCACCCTCAACTGGGTAATTACTATTATTATTGGCTTAATTACTATATATTTGGTACGGTTTTATCTACGAGTGCTGGTCCTACCCAAAGGTCCATTTCCCTTACCAGTGTTAGGAAATGTGTTAAGTGAGTATTGAATTTCTAACTCGCAAACATTTTATCAAAATGACATTGTTTATTTGAATTCATTTCCATTAGTTTTTCTACATCATCGTGACTGGTAGTTAAAAACCAATCATAACCACTGGATCCCAGACTACCGAGGTTGAAATTGATTTATCATATTTTTAGCTCACACTCAATCAAATTGAATACAATATCGTGTTTTAAAAACCTTTTAAATTCTGTATATAAAGGTATTCCTGACAACAATTGAATTCATTTTTGGATCTAAAACTGTTTTGACAAACAGTTTTTAATGTTTTAATTTAAGTGTTCATTAAATATATTTTGCTACGAAAATGATTGATTTAAGTTATAGCGCAGTGAGCTGGCTAATTATGATTAGCATCGCTTTAATCACCGTGTATTTGGTGAAATTTTATTTGCGAGTGCTTTCCCTACCAAAAGGTCCATTTCCGTTGCCAATACTTGGAAATCTGTTAAGTATATCATTTTTATAAATTATATTTATATAAAAAACAATATTTATAAATCATATATAATTTACTAAATTATGACTATAAAAAAGTTTTCAGGGGGACAAAAGTCAATCAATTCATAACAATGAATGAATTGCATAAAACCTATGGACCGGTATATACACTATGGTATGGGTCGACACCAATGGTTGTCATCGCTGACTATGATTTAGTTAAAAAGGCATTCAATTCAAAGAACAATGAATTAATGGGTCGTTCGGTGACTGCTTCCAGTAAAATATTGCTACAAAACGGAAAGGATGTCTCCCTCACAAGTCCCTCACCCGTTTGGGCCAGCCTTAGACGGGTTGCCCACTCGGCGGTCAGGTATTCATGACATTTAAATTAGTGTTACTTGATGATTTTAATTACTATTATAATTTTACTACAATTTTACTTGTTAAAACATTATGACTATAAAAAAGTTTTCAGGGGGACAAAAGTCAATCAATTCATAACAATGAATGAATTGCATAAAACCTATGGACCGGTATATACACTATGGTATGGGTCGACACCAATGGTTGTCATCGCTGACTATGATTTAGTTAAAAAGGCATTCAATTCAAAGAACAATGAATTAATGGGTCGTTCGGTGACTGCTTCCAGTAAAATATTGCTACAAAACGGAAAGGATGTCTCCCTCACAAGTCCCTCACCCGTTTGGGCCAGCCTTAGACGGGTTGCCCACTCGGCGGTCAGGTATTCATGACATTTAAATTAGTGTTACTTGATGATTTTAATTACTATTATAATTTTACTACAATTTTACTTGTTAAAACAAAACTAATGTTTATGTGGTTTTAAAAACTTAGAAAACTAGCCGTAAGTGAGAAGTTGTCTGATTTGGTGGACGATGTGGTCAATGAAACCGTTGAGACAATGATTAAGAATGAAGGCATCGGTAAACCATTTAATCCCAAGACTTATATCTATATGTCTGTCATAAACATAATCGCGTCGTCGGCTTTTGGCAAACGGTTTGTTTCATAAAAATATATAACATTTTAATAATAATAATAAAAATTATAAAACAGATACTCTTTTGATGACAAAGAACTCAAGTTTTATGAGGAAAGCTTTGAGT